AAAAAAAAAAAGAGAGAGAGGTGGAGGGAAGTAGCACAGTGCGTCAGGTATCTTCCGAAAGAGCACGTGCTGGACAACCACAATACACTCCAACGCGCACTCGGCCGGCAGACGCGGGGGGAGCCCACCGTGCCTCTCCTTGCTGGGGAAAGGCTCCTGCGCTCGTCTACCCGGGGACAACCAGGGAGGGCCATGCATCAGCCTGAAACCAGAGGGACCCTGGAAACAACATACTCCAGTCATGGAGCACGGTTTCTCTTTACCAACCTGTCAACGAAACGATGGTTTTAAAACCCTTTGGCTCGGGGTGAGTGCTTCACAAGCAGGAGGAAGTATTTTGTAGATAATCCAACCTCCTGTATCTGACGCTTTGGATTTCTTAATTCCATTTGGGAAAATGGGCTTTGAACCTGGCTGCTTCTTAGACCTAATTTTCTAGAGGACACAAAATTACATTTCAAATGTGTAAAGACTTCTCTTCACAAACTGGTCTCTCCTGCCCAACTGCCTTTTTACCTCTGCCCAGATCCATGACACCACGGTCTCACATTTACCGAGAACTCACAGTATACAGTCATGTAGCAGGTCCCAAAAGATTGCATGAAATTAAAAAGGTCTTTGCTTTTAAGATGTTTATAATTAAGATGAAAGGTATATGTATGTATGTGCATGACTGGGAGGGGTATAGTGCTGTGCACCAGAAACTGACACGTTGTAACTGATGGTACTTCAACTAAAAAAAAAGATGAAAGGAAACGCCCCCCCACACGCACACACACGCACGCAGACACGTGCATGCACACACACACACGCACACTTAGCTTTCCTTATGACAGAAAAGATACAAAGGAGGAGGAAGAAAATGGGGCTGGAGGAGGGACTTTCTAGAAGTAAAGGAAACAGCGTAGTTGTGAGCTTTTCTGTGATCACACCACACTCCCAACTTCTCACACAAGGCATTTGGTCTCCTGGTCTTGTTAAAAGGATCTTGGGATGATAAATCAAAATGGCAGAAGCTCCGGAACAAAGGGGGAAAATCCCCGCACAACAATTAACAACATGATCCCCCCTTTCAAGAAAAAGCAGGTCCTCCATCTGCCTGTCCGAACGCGGCCCCACTGCTCATTAACACTAAGGAGGCTCCTGGAGAGCTTGCAGAGCCTGGCAAGCAACAGGCTGCTGAAAAAGACACAAAGTGACAATACTTCCCCAACCCCAGCGCCAGCTATTACAGCCAGCGGGTCTCAGACGCCCGAAGTGTCAGGCTGAGGCAGACAGTCAGGGCAGAAATAGAAGGGACCCTGAGAGGGAAGGAAGAGCTCATCACTGGGGAGCCTGGGCTCGCTTCCAGAAATGGAGGGACATGAGCGCCCACCCAGTCTTTTTCAATAATATCTTCAAGCAGCACAAAGAAAGAGATGAGACCAGCAGAGGCTCGGCCCCCGGATGTGACCTGGACCAGCAGGTGAA